ATTTGACAGGAGTTTTACTTTTAAACTGTAAGTGTATCTAATTTAGTTATAATGGGCAGGTTATATATAAAAATGTTTGTTATAATCATGTCTTGTGATTATTTGACAGGAGTTTTACTTTTAAACTGTAAGTGTATCTAATTTAGTTATAATGTAAATACAATAAAAATTAAACCAAGGTTTAGAATAATTATCATTTTGATCCATACATTGGTAATGTCTGACTGGGCCTCGTGTCTCTTTATGTTCAACAAATTGGGCCCTGAGGTCAAAAAGGTTAAGAACCCCTGATCTAGAAGACCTAGTTCTCCCATCTGTTTATTGATAGTTTAAACATTATTTGATGTTCTTTGTTTTTTAGGAAGGGGAAGTTCCTTCACCACTATGAAAACTACGGAGCTACCGCCAAGGATATTGCAGACTGGCTGAAGAAGTAAGCATGGCACTAAACTCACCACCCACTGGCTGTTTTCAGTAGGTGACAGAAGGCTCTGTTAAAATGCTGATTTCAGACACAAGATGTTTTCCAGCTTTTAAAACATCAGTACCAAGATGTTCCATGAAAAAGCCAGAATGAAGCTCCAAACAAAAAGATAACCTGCTTTTAATGCATCTTAAATTTATGCCTGTCCTCGTCATCACACATTTATCACTTTCCTCCCTCTGACTCTTTACCATGGTGTCATCAGTCCACACCTGCTTTGTCCTTATCTCAGTTGTCTTTCACACCTTGTCTCACAGACGCTACCTGTCTCTATTTGGCAGGAAGCTGGTTTTATCCACAGGGCTGCAACTAGGAGACTTTAACCATGTTTCCATCAAGGCTTTTTGATGCACATATAGAAGTGTCACATTAAAAATCCAAAACAAAGTCGGATGGAAACAGCAAAATTAGAAAAAATATCCCTCAATTTGCTAAAAAGTTTTTACGCTCGCTTGAGGTGGTTTTTGGATGATTAGCAAAGTAGTTAATGCACAAAACGGGAGATGGAAACACGTTTGCCGAATAAATTCTGACGTAGCGCATGTTTACCTCACGTGACGTTCAGCTGTTTCCGCTTTCTTGCCTCATCCCGGATTTTATCATAAACGTGCGAAAACGTTGCGTTTATTTCCCTACGTCTCCTGGCAGCGTTAAACATAGCCTGTACTAGCTGAAAAGAGAGAATAATAACAACTTGCCCAATAGCAAGGCATTCACGAGAAAATCGCTCCATTGTCCTGAGATGATTAGCCTCTGCTAGTTAGCAAGTTTCACTTCCTGTTTACTACCGCAAAGCTTGTCGCCGACGTCTGACGTAATCACGCGTTATGTAGCCTCGTCTGATGTAATCACGCATTGCGTAGCCTCGTCTGACGTAATCACGTGTTGCGTAGCCTCGTCTGACGTAATCACGCGTTGCGTAGCCTCGTCTGTAATCACACGTTGCGTAGACTCGTCTGACGTAATCACGCATTGTGTAGCCTCGTCTGACATAATCACGTGTTTTGTAGCCTCGTCTGACGTAATCACGCGTTGCGTAGCCTTGTCCGACGTAATCACGCGTTGTGTAGCCTCGTCCGATGTGATCACGCGTTGCGTAGCCTCGTCTGTAATCACACGTTGCGTAGACTCGTCTGACGTAATCACGCATTGCTTAGCTTCGTCTGACGTAATCACGCGTTGCATAGCCTCGTCTGACGTAATCACGCGTTGCATAGCCTCGTCTGAAGTAATCACACGTTGCGTAGCTTCGTCTGACGTAATCACGCGTTGCGTAGCCTCGTTTAGTAGCATTAAACAGTCGAGAGGGAAACTAGATGGAAACAGTCTAGATTCTAATTTTTATTTATTTAATTTTTTGCGGATTTTGAAAAGTTCGATAAAAATTCACTCTACAACTGGATGGAAACACGATTTTTGACTCCAATCCCAGATTTATTCCAGGTAGTCTTTTCAGCCTGGAGGTATAAACAGCTGAGCTTTTTACCATTCAGTTTGTTTAAGACCCAGAAGTGTAATTGAGGCTGTGAACCTGGCTGCTGAACAGACGAGTTAAAAGAATGTTTAACTGAGACACACTCAGTTACACTTAATGCTCTAAGAACATTATAAAAACCATGTTTGAGCAGAGTTTAATAAACACATTTTAGTTTAGTTTCCTCTGCTGTTGTCTGGAGTTGTTGACCACAAAATGTAGATGAAATGTGTTCAGTATGAGGGGAGATAGAAGACTAGTCTCCTGTTTTCAGTTTATCAAGTCAATGTTTTTTATCTGAATATGCTGCAGATGAATAAAAGCAGAACAGGTATTTTTATTATTATTATTTTTAGATAAAGGATGCTGCAAAGCTTTCTAGAATGATCTTTTGTCACACTCAAAGTTTATAAACAAAATCTTTTTTTCCTGTTTTCACAACAAATTTGTCTCCCAAGTTTTGATTAAGTTTTCTTTGTGCTGCTTTTGGAGTTCTCTTCAATTTCACTGCCTATACTCTTTTCATTTGACTGAACTTTGTCCTCTTTTGTAGTGACAAACAAAATCTGTGAGAAACTTAAAGCTTTTGTTTTGATAGTTTTTTTTCATAACATCTCCACACATGTTTGCTGCTAATCTTAAATTATTTCTCATTCAAGCGTGAAAGCTATTATTCTGGAGAAAAGTAAAATGTTTAGAAACCACAGGTTCACCATTAAACAATATGGTAGTTTTTGACGTCTAATTACAGTGACTAAATGTTCCTTTCTTGATGCTTTACCAGTACAGTGGTGCCTTGAGTTACAAGTTTAATTCGTTCTGAGATGGAGCTCTTAACTCAAATTACTTGTTTGTCAAATCAGTGTTCCCCATAGAAAGAAATTGAAATATCCTTAATCTGTTCCGGACCCCCAAAAAACTCTACTATTTTTTGTTACATGTTTTATATCAATAAAATCATTATGAATAACTAAAATTGAATAAAAATACATAACAGAATGTATTTTCTGCAATGAACTACAGTAGTTTTATTAAGTAAGTACTCTGTAAAAGGTACAGCTATGGTGCAGACTGTGGAAGTGCTGCGCTCGTACTGCTTTGCTAAGTCGACTACACGCGCACCTTTCTGGTGTTTTTCAATAATTTCTTTCTTCAGTTCAATGCACATCATTCACTTCTTTTTCTCAGCGCCATCCTTTGCTCTCACCTTTTTTGGTCCCATAGTTGGCAAAAACTGGTTCGTGAAGTTTTATAAAAATAACTGAGTGGAACACAAATGTTTTAACCACAAGCTAACTGTTTAAAGCTAACTGACCTGTTGCGGTGTTCACTCCTGCGTTCATGGCGCTATCTAGTGGTGGGGCGTGTGAAGTTCGCTCGTAACCCAAATTTTAGCTCTCAACTCAAAGATAAAATATATCTGAGAGACTGCTTGTATCTCAAAAAACTCGTTAGTTGAGACACTCTTAAGTCAAGGTACCACTGTATTTATTTTTTCTTTATTTTTTGTTTGAAGGTTTTTCTGTTTTCGTTTAGTCTTCTGGTGGTAAAATGTCTCTAAACTTGTTTATTGTTAGATTACTGATGAATCCTCAGCTTTTATAACTTGAGGTTATTTGAGTTTCTCAGAGTAACATGATTGAGATGTTTCTCTTTGAAAAATGCCCTCCTCCTCCATACCCATCAGAAGCATTTATCTCCTTACATCCATCCTAACTGTCTGGTGGTCACCAATGACGCAGCATCATTCAAAATAAGCACATCTTCTCACTTTGCCCCAGCAGGGGGGATTGTCTGCTGAGACATCACAAATAATCCTCAACAATGTTCAGTTAAAATCTATTCCCAAGTTCAAACACACACTCACACAAGTTTGTTTTTCTGTCCTTATTAGGACCGGTTATACAGGTCATTTCTGTCGCCTGACCCTAAACCTAAGCTAAACTCAGGTCTCACCTTGGTCCTAACCCTGACCCAAAACTGGATTTCCACCATATTAAGGCTGGTCTTTGGTCCCCTTAAGCTCTACTGGTCTTGACCAGATGTGTATACCAGAAACGGTCCTAAAAATGTAACAAATACAAGTACACAGACTTACATAATTTCCTGCCTTTATAGGCGTGGAATTATTCAAGCTAAAAGTATTTTAATTCCATGTTTGTTGTTTAAATGTAACTTTAGAGTTTTGTTAAACCATTAAAATGACAACTGTAGAGTCTCTATCCAAATACTGGACCTGACTGAACTGATGACATCACTGGATGAGAATTTTTAGGCTTTAAGTTGCACACATCCTTTTTTTTTCCAGGYTCGTGTGGCTTTAATCATAGATTCAGGCTGGAAAATGGAGAAAAAACATTGGTGTCTTTTTAAATCACTCTGTGTGTGTGGTGGTGGTGGGGGTGGGGGGTTGTT